ACACTCATAAACACTCATGCCATACACACATGCAATAATATAATTAAGCTGGATGTGGTGGTGCATGCCTTTAATCCCAGCACTCCACAGGCAGAAGCAGGCAAATCTTTGTGAGTTTGAGGCCAGCCTGGTCTACATAGCAAATTCAAGGCCAGCCTGAGCTACAGAGTGAGACCTCACCTCAAAGGGCCAAGAGCTATGTGTGTGATTCAGTGATAGAGTACTTGTCAAGCATGTAGAAGGTCCTGGGTTCTATCCCAGCACACCACACAGACACACAGACACAGACACACACACTGTATAGGAGGATGTTTGTAAGTTATATACAAATGAGACATCATTTTATATAATGAACTTGAACATCCTCAGATGCAGCCATGGAGGGCCTTGCACCCAAGCCCCCTCAGAAATCAAAAGATGACTGTGTAAATGTTAGTGCTTGGTTGACAGGGCTAGGAGAGGCAGGGGATAGGCAGTGCATGAGTAAAAGCCCTCAGGTGAGGATCCTTCAGGGCACAGCTGGGCAAGGAGGAGCTGCAGAGAAACCAAATGCGATTAGAAAGTCGGGGCAGTTAGAAAGGGATTGCAGGGGGTTTAACCTAAGACTGAAGCAGCAGGAAGCCAGAGCATCCTCAGTAATGAGAGGCATCTGCAGAGCCCTGCTCAACCACATAGAGGAGGAAGAAAGCCGGGTAGGCAGCCAGAGGTTAAGGCACACCAGCCCAGGCAGCTCACCCGGAATTCCATGTTTAGATTGCCATTGGAGACCACAGGATCCTTCAGGAGGGAGTAGTCAATGCCAACCAAGCTCATCCACAGAACTGCGTACTGCAGGGAGGGGCCCAAGTCACTCCAAGCTGGCTAGTGACACTCCCCTCCCAGGGTTCTTCGAAGGATCAAATTGGTTTTAAGTGGAAACCACTTAGTGCCTGGTGTGTATTAAGTGTTCAGTAACAAAGCAGTTGTTGCTTACTCCTACCACTACAATGACTACTAAAAGAGTTTCATCAAATTGCTAAGGAAAACGGCAAAGGAGGCCAGTGAAATGGTTTATCAGGTAAAGGCACTTGCCTTGAAAGCCTAGAGACGTGAGTTCAATCCCCAGAGCCCACATAAAGGTGGACGGAGACAACCAACGCCACAGTGTCATTGCCTGACCTCCACATACATGCCAGGGTATGGGTACCCAAACACACACGTGATACCATGTGTGCTCATATAGACACAATAATAATATGTTTTTAAAATTTTAATTTACTTTTTATTTTTTTATGTGTATGTGTGTATTGCCTGCATGTAGGTAAGTGCACCCATTCCGTGCAATGCCCTCGGAGGTCAGAAGAGGCTGTCAGATCCCCTGGGACTGGAGTTACGGACAGTTATTAGCTGCAATGTGGGTGCTGGGATTCGAACCTCGGTCTTCTGCAAGAACAACCAGTGTTCTTAACCACTGAACCATCTCTCATGGATAGTTGTTAGCCACCATGTGAGTGCTGGGAATTGAACCTGGGTCCTCTGCAAGAGCAGTCAGTGCTCTTAACCACTGAACCATCTCTCTAGCTCCCCATTTAAAAAAATGTTAAGCTGGCAAAGGAGGTATTTCATTTCTTGGTTTCCCTTGTCTCCTCCTTTTTCACACCCTGTGTGTTAGACCTGATAGGACAAGGTCTCTGACCCACAGTGGACAGACACCATGGCTTAGGAAAAAAAAAAAGAGTTCATGTTAACTGAGCACTTACTGTCATATGATTTGAAGACAAATGGGACCCCAGTGATTAGTAAGCAGATTAGAGACCTTGACAACCCCTGGGGGTGGTTACCAGCCAGTGAGGAAACTGAGGCTCAGAGGGAAGTTTGTACTAGGTTACACAGCATGCTAGTGACACATTTGAAGCCAGGACTGCCCCATAGCTGGACTTTGAAGGGACCTGTTCTGAGATCCTGCATGACATCTCCTACCTGGCTTCCTCCCTCCTTAGCTCCAACTCCAGGCCTGCAGCAAGGCGCCTAAACTCACCAGCATTGACTCACCAGGCACTGCGTCCAGGAGGGTGTTGAGTAGCACCATCCCAGCATGGCGGAGCACTGGGCAGATCTGGGGTACGGGGTCAGAGTCAGGGGGCTTCTCAAAACCAGGCCACTTCCACCCTGCTGCCCAGGCCTTTCACTGCCCGTACCTGCTGATTGAGGAGGAAACGCATCCCAGAGATGATGAATGTGGAGAAGAAGTCATACACCTTCCTGCAAGGACAGGAGAGCCTGGGTAAGCCCAGCCCCTCCCTCTGCCCTAAGCCAGAGCCAGGAGAAATGACAATGCCCAAAGAAACAGTAGTGCCAAGGACTCCTCAGTATGGGAAGGACTTGTACAATATGGACATGCTCTGGACAGATGACTTTTACTTAACCTTGCAACCAAAAAGTTAATCTTAGCTTGTTTTACTATAGACAAGCTCACTGAGTTGAATGCTCCTTTTGTGACCCGGGCATACTACCTTAATCCCTCATGACCTTTCCTTGCCCTGGACCCAAATTAATGTATGAATGTGTGTATGTGTATTTTACTTATCAAAGCTTTGCAAGCAGTGCTTATCTCATTGAAACCAATGAGATGAACATCCCTGTTTGTGTTGTAAGCAACAGATGGGAACAAATTGATAGTCTGTTTGTGGTTTATTTGTGTTAGTCTACATCAGTAGGAATCTGAAAGGGCAAATTCTTCTCTGAGAAGATAATTCTGCTTTTGCTTCCCCATTTCATGCTGGACAGACTGTTTCGACTAAAAACAAACAAACAAACAAACAAACAGAAAATCGAAAACAAGAAAATTGTTGAGAGAATTCTGAAGGGACAGATGCTCAGCAGTTCAGGTCCACTCTTGGCTTAAAATGGATGTTCAGGCTGTTTTTATTTGGGTAAAGCCATAATATGGCATTGTGTAGTAAATGCCAAACCTCAGCTTCAGCCAGCAACTCTGAGCAATTCTCTAAGATCCAAGCCCCAGTGCTTCTCCAGCCAGATTCTCAAGATTACCTCTTCTACCTGCCCCCGCCAGCCAGAGAATCCCTCCATAGCTCCTCACAACTGCTCAGAATTCCCCATATCCAGTCTGTACACTTCCTAATGCCGTCCCAAGTTTCCTGCCTCTGTCCTCCTAACTGAACTCAGATGCCTCCTCTTCCAGGCAGTCTTCTCTGATCACCCTCCATCAACTGCTCCTCCTCCCCGCCAAGATTTTCTTGGCCCCTCTTCCAAAATTCTCATAACCAATGTTTCAGTCTCTCTAGCTAGGCTCTAAACTACTTTCTAAGTCCTTAGGGCTTGGCATACACTATTCTTATTGAACAAGTAAAAACTGACCATGTGTGAACATAAGATGATAAATCTACCATGTTCTCCCTGACAGAACCAACAAGAAGTCTCCAGGACCCAGACCTATGTCATTATTTTTATTGCTATTTTTATTTTATTTACTGCATGCCCAACTGTGCATACTGTCAGTTTCATTTTGTTTGTTTGTATTTTTGTTATTTTTTGTGACAGGTTCTCATTATGTAGGTGGCCTCAAACTATCAGAGATCTACCTGCCTTTGCCTCCCGAGTGCTGGGATTAAAGGCATGTATCACCATGCCTGGCCAGTTTCATGTTTTAAAAAAGATTTATTTGAGGGGCTGGAGAGATGGCTCAGCGGGTTAAGAGCACTGTCTGCTCTTGCAGAGGACCCGGGTTCGATTCCCAGCACCTACAGGGCCGCTATGAACCGTCCATAACTCCAGTTCCAGGGGAATCCGAAGCCCTCTTCTGACCTCCGCGGCACTGCACGACACGGGTGCAACTCACATACATAATACACTCATACACATAAAATAAAAATGATAAAAAATTTTTAAAAAAGATTTATTTTCATTATTTATGTATATATGTGTGTCTGTGTGCATGTCTGTGCTGGTGTCCAGAAGAGGGCATTGGATCCCTTGAAGCTGGAGTTACAGGTGCTTGTGAGCTGCTCAAAGGTTGCTGAGGACCCCCAGACCTCTTCAAGAGCAGTATGTGTTCTTAACCAATGAATCATCTCTTCAGCTCTTTTTAAAAAAGATTTATTTTCATTATTTATGTATATATGTGTGTCTGTGTGCATGTCTGTGCTGGTGTCCAGAAGAGGGCATTGGATCCCTTGAAGCTGGAGTTACAGGTGCTTGTGAGCTGCTCAAAGGTTGCTGAGGACCCCCAGACCTCTTCAAGAGCAGTATGTGTTCTTAACCAATGAATCATCTCTTCAGCTCCAGTTTAATTTTTAATTCAAGTACTTGGTTTTGAACCCAGGGCCTTATGCATGCTAGACAAGTGCTGTACCACTGAGCTGCATCCCTGGGCATACTAACCCTAACAATTATTCTTTTTAGGGGGAAGAGGGGTTGAGACAGGGTCTCTCTGTAGCCCCAGCTGGCCTGGAACTCACTATGTAGACCAGGCTAGCCTCAATCTTACAGCCTGCCTCTGCCTCCCAAGTGCTAAGATTAAAGGTGTGTGTTACGTCGCCCGGGTCCTAACAATTATTTTATCTATGTGACTGGCACTGAGACATTTACCACCTGCCAGGTATTATTCTATATACTCTGCATCTATCAGCAGGATCGTCATGAGCATCACGAAATACGTTCATGATTTTTAGTTCCACTTTGTAAAAGAGAAGATTGAGGCACTGAACTGCAGTGACTTGTCCAAGTTCACAAAGCCAGGAAGTGTCGAGCTGGGGTTTGGACTCATCAGTACTCCCAGGCTTTGCACTTTCCATCACACTAGGAAACTGGGCTTTGGGGCTCAAAGGGGGTGCGCCAGGGCTGGAACTTACTTGAAGGTTCCTCCAAAGGCCATATCCATTCTAGAGACAGAAGCCTCACAGGAGACATTGGACACTTTAATCCGACCAGTGGGATCCCGGGAGAGCTGCAGACCTATGCGGATGGACACACCCTCGGCCGAGGCATTGATGTAGCTCCCATCATAGCTGCCAAAGGGGGTTCATGTTCACCCCAATGGGAGCTTAATGGAGGAGTCACTGACCCTCTCCTTATCCATACATCATGACAACTTCTTTTGTTATACATGTATAGAATGCATTTGCAGGATTTACCCCCACTGCCCTCTGTCCTCCTCTCCACCCCTGAACCCCTTGTTCTTTTCAACAAGACCCTCTCTTACTTTCGTGCCTTTTGTTTGTTTGGTTTTTGTTTTGAGATGGGGCCTCACTACGTAGATCAGGCTAGCCTGGAACTCACAGAGCTCCACTTGCCTCTGCCTCTGAAGAGTTGGGATTAAAGGCATGGGCCAGCACACCTTGTAGATGTCTTTTTGGGTTTTTTTTTTTTTGTCTTTTTGAGACAGAGTCTCCCTGTAGCCCCAGCTGTCCTGGAACTTCTATGTAGACCAGGCTGGCCTTGAACTCACAGAGATCCACCTGCCTCTGCCTCCTGAGTGCTGGGATAAAGGCGTGCGCCACCACATCCGGCCCTCGGCTTCTTTTTTTAATTAATTAATTTAAATCACTGAGTTTAATTAGGGTTGCTTGCATGAGCATGGGCGTGGTTACTGACTGGAGCATAGACAACTTACTCAGTGGTTACACCACTTCATAAAAATGACGCCCCTTCCCATCACAGCCATTAACTGCCAATAACTCCTCAGCTAGGGATGGAGCCTCCTGATACCTCCTCACCAGACTGCACTCTGCTTGTCTGCCAGGCATCTACCAAACTCTCCTCTCAAATGGAGAAACTGAAACTTAAGAAGGCTAAGTGGCGCTGGCCACCAGCCCGGACCCCCCACCCCTGAGAGAACAGGGTCCTCACCAGAACCAGTAGAGAAGCTGTCTTCGGAAGCGCAGTCCCAAGGAAGAATTGGAGATGTGCAATATCAGCTCTTGCTCTGGCTGGAAATGGAGCTCTGAGGATATCAACTGCAGCTCAGTGACCTTCACGCTGTGGAAAGCAGGCACCAGGTCAGGTCTCAAGCAAAGAGGAGAGGACCCACCCCATCACAGGAAATTCATTTCCTCCTCTTCCAGTCTCAGCCAGGGGAAGCTGGGTGGGTGGAATGGATTTTTCCATTGCCCCTCAAGAGTCTGACCTGTATTTGGTAACTCAGGGATCAGCTCCTGTACACCCAGGGGTTAAAAGTGACCTTCATTCTTTTTTTTTTTTTTCTTTAAAATGAGGGTCTCCATTTTTTGTCCAAATTGACCTTGAGTTTGTGAGCCAAAGCAATCCTCCTGCCAAGTCTCCTGAGTAGCTGGGATTACAGGCCCCCTCACCTGGCAATCTCATCACCCCACCACTTAAAATTCTTGCTGTTTAGGGCACAATGGCTCACACCTGTAATCCCAGCATTCAGCAGACAGATGAGGGAGGAATGTCTTGAGGCCAGCTTGGGCTACAGAGCAAGAAGTTCTCAAAAAACAATAATGATTTCTCTTGACACTCATCTGTTCTGGGCCTGCGATAGCTTTGTGTACCACCCAGTGAGGTAAAGTTTTATTCTTTTTTAATATTTTAATTTTATGTGTATGAGTGTATTGCCTGCATGTGTGTAAGTGCACCCGTGTCCTACAGTGCCCAAGGAGGTCAAAAGAAGGTGTCAGAGTCCCTGGAACTGGAGTTCTGGAGGGTGGTTAGCCTCCATGTGGGTGCTAGGAATGGAACCCGGGTCCTCTGGGTTCAGTCAGTGCTCTTAACCACTGAGCCATCTCTCCAGCCCCAGTGAGATGTAATAAGGTCCATTATATCAGAGGCATTGAAGAAGAGGATGATGTTGAAATGACAAAACAGAACTTTTTGCTGGACATTACATGTGTGTGTATTTCCATACAAGAATTTTGTTTGTTTTCTTCAAAGTTGGGGGGAGGCAGGCATGGTGGTACATGCCTTTAATCCCAGCACTCCGGGGGCACAGGCAGCTGGATCTCTGTGAGATTGAGTCTGACCTGTTCTACAATAGTGAGTTCCATGCCAGCTAGGGCTCCAGGGAGATCCTGTCTCAAAAAAAAAGAGGGTGGGTGAGGCTGGAAAGATGGCTTAGTGGTTAAGAGCATTTGCTGACTTGTGAGGACCCAAGTTCAGTTTCCAGCACCCACAAGGCAGAGCACAACCAACTGTAACTCCAGTTCTAAGGGCTCCAGTGCCCTCTTCTGGCCTCCACAGGCACTGTATGTAGGTGGTGCACATACATACATGCAGGTATAACATACATATAATTTTTTTTTTAAAAAAGAAAAGAAACAGCTGGAGATGTAGCTTAGTTAGTGGAGTCTTTGCCTGGCTTGCATGGTGCCCTGGATTCAAAGCCTAGAGCTACATAAACCTAAGCGGTCATACGATGCCCATTCTACATGGAGACAGGAGGATCAGAATTCAAGGCTATCTTCAGCTACATACTGAGTTTGAGTTTGAGACCAGCCTGGGCTACATGGTACTCTGTGCCAAAAGAAAAGAGCATGAAAAGAAAGAAAAAGAAAAGAAAACCCACAAAGAACTATGCTTGTACCTTGTTCTCTCCCACACAGCAGGATTTCCAACCTGATTTTTTGGGGGGAAGAGGGCACAAGGTCTCAATGTAGTCCAAGTTCTCATAGCCCAAGTTGCCCTTGATCTTGTGATCCTTCCCCAGCCCTCTGAATGTCTGGATTACAGGCCTGTGCCACCATGCTCAGCTTTCGACCTGGTTTTTCTTTTTTTTTTTGGTCGTTTTGAGACAGGGTCTCCCTGTAGCCCCAGCTGTCCTGGAACTCACTATGTAGACCAGGCTGGCCTTGAACTCACAGAGATCCGCTGCCTCTGCCTCCCAAGTGCTGGGATTAAAGGCGTGCACCAACACGCCTGGCCCGACCTGGTCTTTTAACAGTCTGTTCACTTTGTCTTCATTACTGAAACTCACCATTTATCCCAATTCGCCCATCCTTTGTCACAAGGATGCACCTTTAGTCCCATAACCCATCCATTAACTTCACTGCAGGCCTAGACTCTCTACCCTCATCTATTGGTAAATCCTTCCACTGCATCTTTTTGGAGGTTCTTTGGACCAGGCTTCCATTCTACTGCTCCGAGTTCCTTTTCCTTGGGCTCGCCTACTTCTGGGTAACGCACACCTTCTTAGTCTCGCCAGTGTGGGCTGGCTCCTCCTTTATCTTTTTAGCCCATCTCAGACCAGGCAACATAGGCTCGACCTTGGCCTCTCCAGGGATCAAGGGCGCATTTCGTCAGCCCCGCCTCCAAGCACTTGGAACGCCCACCTTTGAAGCCCCGCCCCCACGCCGTGGCCCCCGCCCCCGCGCCCTACTTACTCCGAGATGTTGTAGGAGAAGTGGCCCTTTCGGCCCTGCAGATCTGGGATGATGATGGTCTCCAGCTCTTGCTCCAGAAAGCGCAGCCCCTCCTGCTTCACTGCAGCAGCACAGACACCCTTAGGTCCCGCACCCTCCCGCGCCACTGCCTCGAGCATTACCCAGCTCCAGCGCCTTGGAGGTGATGCGGCTCTTGCAGCCCGGGAGCTCCGCGTGAGCACCTGCCTGGAGCGCCAGGAAGAGGGCCAGGAGCAGGGCCATGGCGAGCGGGCCTGGGGGGGAGCGGGAGCAGGTGTCATTTGGGCGGCTCCATACCTCTCCTGGGCTTTGCAACCAGAACAAGGGCCTGGCCCGGACCGCTACTCTCCAGGAAACTGTTCGGGGGAACTCAGAACCAATCATCTCGTCTCCATTAAGCACTTGCAGAAACTGAGGCTCGGAAACAGGATGCGACTTGCGCTCTGCTTCCAAAGGATTCGGGGCGCGGGGGAGGAGACGTCCTCGGTTCCCTCTCGCAACCTCCGCGTGGCGAATCTGGACCTCAGGGGAACGAGTCCCCCTCCCCCTCCAACCACTGTCCCTTTTCTCGTAGAGGGGTGCTGGTGCAGGCTTGCACGTAGTCATGGCAACGACCACACGCGCATTCCTGAGGGGTGCTTGCGGTCTCCGAGGCCGCGAGCCCGGGTGGCCAGCCTGCCCTCGGTCTCCTGGGTCTCCCGGCTCCCCCAGGTCCTAAACTCTCCCACGAGGTGCCTGGTGCCCCCATCCCAGCGCCCCCCTTCATCCTCTCGCCTCTGCACCTGGGTTCAGGGGGCCACGCGGCTCGGTGAGGGTCTGGACGTCCTCGGTGAGGGCGCGCCTCAACTCAGCGGTGAAGCGGGGGGAGGGGGACGGAGAGGTCACGTAGGGCAGCCTCAGCTCAGGGGATCCTAGCGGCGGGGTCTGGCGGGCAGCGCGGGTCGGTCCGCCTTTATGAGACTGGGCCTCCTCGACCCCCCCCCCCCCTTCCGCTCTTCGCTCCTCCTTGGGGCCTGGGAGGGGACACGGGGCGGGGCTGGCTGCGGGGAGGGTGGAGAGGGCAGTAACGGAGCCCCGTGACAAGCCCGGCTGCTTTCTCGACAAGTGGGGGACTCAGTCCTAAAAGAGCCAAGCCACAGGTCTCAAATGCCAGTTACCCAGCTTTTCCCGCAGGATCTTCAGCAGATCACGTCGCTAGGCTACTGAGCCTGTTTCCTCATCCAGCACAATGTTCCTGATCGTGGGGACTCCCTCTTCAGCCTTCCTGCAAGGCCAAGGGAGTCAATGTCGGATGTACTTTCCTTCCTTTTTCTCCTCGCCTGGCTTTGTTATGGGACCCCGACCTCTCTAGGGACTTTATGGCCCAGAGACCCAACCCATTTGGGAAAGCCAGACCTAACAAGTTCTTTCAGCTCAGGACACCACCAAGGTTAAGGGCTACTGGAATCGCCCCCAGAGGGAGGTTAGCCCTTCTGGGGGGAGACTGTGGATTCTCTGGTGAACCCTTTGAACTCAGTGCTGTACAGTAACCCTGTACCCCATCCACTGCCCACAGGGTCCAAGCACCAAAATAGGGTACAGAATAGATGCTGGCTACCTTTTTGTTGCCACATACTTGAAAGAGAAAAGGGGAAGCAATAATGACACTGATTGAGCATGTACTTAACACTCAGCACTCACATAGCTCAGATGACCAGGTAGTCTTATATGGTCCAGAATCTGTTCAGTTTTAGAACTGTTCCTGGGAACCCACTCAGTCCCAGACAAACCAGGATGGCTAGTCACCTGAGATCTCTCGTTTTTTTTTTTCGGTCTTTTTGAGACAGGGTCTCCCTGTAGCCCCAACTTACCTAGAACTCACTATGCAGACCAGACTGGCCTTGAACTCACAGAGATCCACCTGCCTCTGCCTCCCCGGTGCTAGGATTAAAGGCATATGCTACCATGCTGAGTCTTTTGTTGGTTTTCTTGAGACAGGTACTTTATGCAATAGAGGTTGACCCTGAGCTTCTAATCCTCCCCCCTCCACCTTCTGAGTGCTGGGATTACAGCTGTGTACCACCACTCTTGGTCTATGTGGTGCTGGGGCTGGAGCCCAGGGCCTGGGGCAGGCTAGGCAAGCACTCTACCAAGTGACCTGCATCCCTCAGCCTTAATTTAAGGTTATTGCAAAAATAAAGTGAACCCAGTGCAAGTGCCAGGCATATATATGCCATATCATTAGCAGCAAACAAATGCTAGGTCTTAGGACAAATGAGCTAGGTGGAATCAGTCCAAGTGGGGGAGCAGAGATGCTGAGGGCATCCAGAGACTATGCTTATGTGGCTTTGGAGTCAGGTAAATCCTTCCCGGATTGACTTGAGAAGCAAACCCAGGATCTGGGGTGCAGCTCAGTGATGTTTAGCATGCATGAAGTCCTGGGTTCAATTCTCAACACCCCTCCCCAAAGAAGAAACCCAGTATTGTTTTCCCCTCCCTCCTTCCTTTCTTCCTTCCTTCCCTCCTTCCTTCCTCCTCTTCAGTTTCCTCCTCTTCCTTCATCCCAACACCCCTCCCCCAAAGAAGAAACCCAGTATTGTTTCCCCCTCCCTCCTTCCTTTCTTCCTTCCTTCCCTCCCTCCTTCCTCCTCTTCAGCTTCCTCCTCTTCCTTCATCCCTTCATCTTCTTTTTTTTTGTCTTTTTGAGACAGGGTCTCCCTGTAGTCCCAGCTGTCCTGGAACTCACTATGTAGACTAGGCTGGCCTTGAACTCAGAGATCTGTCTGCCTCTGCCTCCCAAGTGCTGGGATTAAAGCCATGTGCTACCATGTCCAGCCTTCATCTTCTTTTTAAAGGTAACATGTTATTGTATTGCCCAGGTTGGCCTCAAACCCTGGGCTCAAGCAATCCTCCTGCCTCAGCCTCCTGAGTAACTGGGACTATAAACTCAAGCTACACCCCCTCTCCAACTTCCCTTTCTTTCTTTCTTTCTTTCTTTCTTTCTTTCTTTCTTTCTTTCTTTCTTTCTTTCTTTTTTTCTTTCTTTCTGTTTTTGGTTGGTTGGTTTTTGAGACAGGTCTTCCAATAGCCACAGCTGGCCTACAACTCTCTATGTAGACCAGGCTGGCCTCGATCTCACAGAGATCTGCCTACCTCTGCCTCCTGAGTGCTGGGATTAAAGGTGTGAGCCTCTATAGCCTCTCATTTTCTTGAGTGAAATCCAAGTTCTTTTATGTTGTTTGTTTTGTTTTTAGTGACAGGGTCTATCTCTGGTAGACCCGTGTTTTAACCTTTCTAAGCTTGTTTCCTTACCTATTAAAAAAAAGATGAATCAAAGAACCTCCCTGTTAGTGGACTGTGAAGCTCATATTAGTTAATGTGTTGAAAGGGTGCAATAAGCAGTTGGCATTTAGGAAGGGTTTGAAAATAGTGCAATTTTTAACATTTCAGTCACTCATGGCTTTTCATCAGACTGGGCATGATCTCCTGCCTCCAAGCACTGATCTTCCATCTCTCACGCTTCACTGCCCCTACACAGTGGCCTTTCTATTTTCCTTTTTTCCTTTTTTGTTTTTATTTTTTTTCAGACAAGGTCTCACTGTAGCCCACCTGTCTCCGCCTTCTGAACAGTGGAGCAGTGGGATTAACGGCATGCCTACCATGCCCAGTATGATGCACCCTTTTCTTTGCTGTTCAATCTGCCTAGAATGCTCTTCCACACCCACTTCCTTGTCAGTCATTCTTCTCTGTGAAATGGGAACATTTCAGAGGAACCCTCTTTCCCTGCCTACTTAGCACTTACTCTCAACCAGGACAACCCAGTTGGCCTGGAATGCACTATGAACACAGGTCTAACCCAACAGGCCAAAAGAAGATGCAGCCCTGGCCCTGACTTCAGGGGCCTGCTGGCTCAATCCATTATATGAGTTTTTCTCTTCCTCTAATAAGCGCTGTGGTCTTATCCCTCAGTGATGCTACCAGGGCCCAGCCAAGACTTTGGCATCTCATTGAACCTGAGAGATGGAGGGGTGAGCCTCCTCAAATTCTTTCTGCCATAGCCCCTGGCCTTGAGGAAAGCAGAAGGCTCCAGCATCCAAAAGGACATGAAGCACTTCTCCAGTCCTTCCTGCTCAGCCTGCACAGCCTTATCATTAACAGCTAGCCCATCAGTCAACTGCTCTGTCTACCCAGACTGGGTTCAAATCTTGCTCTGTTTTTCACTAGAACAGAAGTTAGCCAGCTTTTCTGGGAAAGGGCCAACAGGAACATACTTTAGGCTTTGCTCAACTGTACGGCTGCAGCATGAACAGACATGACCAGTGTCTAAACAGACACAGGCTGCTGGCTGGATAGAGCACACGGGTCATACATAATTCACCAATCCCTTTTCTAAAAAAAATAGCAAATCTGGTACTAAACCTCAGTTGCCATATCTTCAAAATAAGGATGATTTAGTAGCTGCCTTCCTCCCCGGGTGGCAGTGAGGACTTACGTGATAAAGTATATGGTGTTGAAACTAATGCATGCAACACTGAAAGACTCAACAAATGGCTCTGAGCAGTTGCTTGACAAACAAACTGTGCCTTGCAACTTTTCCATCTCCTCTAAGACAGGCATCATCATCCCCAGAGGCTTAGAATTAGCTCAAGTCAGTCTAGCCTGGTCCAGAGCTCACCCTCCATTGGTCTCTCTCTCTCTCTCTCTCTCTCTCTCTCTCTCTCTCTCTCTC